TTGAGACAAATGTAGAAAATGAACCAAATGCTTCAGGTTCTAATGAATGGTATTCAGATTAAGATTTTGAGATGCATACTTTGTATGGATCATCAGATGAGGGGGGAATGGATGATAGGTTTGCAGAATTCAATAAGGATGTGGATATGGTGAAACTTGAACTCAAAGTGGGGATGAGATTTAAGAATGCACAAGTTTTTAGGAATGCATATGATTTGAAGTGGGTTAGAAATGAAAATAAAGGATTACTGCAGTGTGTAAACAAGAGTGTGGGTTTAGAATTCATGCATCTCCAATGCAAAATGAAAGCACATTTCAGATCAAAAGCTTAAAACCACTTCATTCATGTGGTAGGACTTATGACAACTATCTAGTTACCTCAAGGTGTTCATCACAAAAATACCTTGAAAGATTGAGGAATTCTTCTAACATAGAGATCTCAGCCATGCAAAAGGACATTCATAGAGAACTAATGGTTGATGTAAGTAAGAGTCAAGTGTATAGAGCAAAAAGAAAAGCAAAGGAAAAAATTGAAGGGGATTTGAGGAAGCAGTATGCTAGACTATGGGATTACTGTGAGACAGTCAAACAGCATAATCCAAACAGTCGTTTAGTGATTAAATTGGACAGACCTATAGTTGATGAAGATGATGATGAAGTTGAAAGGCCTAACAGACAACTTACACCTATTTTTAAGAGGTTATATATGAGACTAGATGCACAGAAGCAAGGTTTTGTACAAGGTTGCAGGCCTGTTGTTGGGTTAGATGGTTGTTTTTTGAAGGGCATATATGGGGGCCAGCTTTTAGCATCCATTGGTGTTGATGAGAATAACAACATGTTTTCCATTGCCATTGCTGCAGTGGAGGCTGAATGCAAGGATTCATGGGTATGGTTTCTGACCAAATCAGTAGAGGACATAGAAGCTGGCAGTGACATTAGGTGGACATTCATTTTAGACAGACAAAAAGGATTGGTGCACACCTTTACACAGATTTTGCCCAATGTTGAGCATAAGTATTGCTTGAGGCACTTCTACACTAACTTCAAACAGAAGTTCAGGGGCAAAGAGTTTAAGGAATTGATGTGGAAAGCTGCAAAGGCTGGGATAAAAAGGAAGTTTGATTATCACATGAAGAAGTTGGGAGAATTGGACAAAGAAAACAAGCCAAATGAGTGGTTAATGTAAGAGAATCTTGAAACATGGGCCAGGTCTTACTTCAGCACAAGATCCAAGTGTGATATTCAAGTGAATAATCTTAGTAAGTCTTTCAACAAGTACATTTTTCCAGCAAAGGATAAACCAATCATCTCAATGGTAGAGTGGATTAGGAGGAAACTAATGAACATAATACAAGTGAAAAAAATGGAATGAAAAACATGGTGGCGCTATTTGTCCAACTGTGCAACAGAAATTAGAGTCAAACAAAGAGGATGCTAGGAATTGCTTTGCTAGCTTTGCAGGTGAGTTAAAGTTTGAGGTGGATTGTTATGATATAACTCATGTAGTGGACATGAGGGCAAGAACATGTGGGTGTAAGGATTGGGATCTAACAGGTATACCTTGTAAACATGCCATAAGTTGTATATGCCTTACTAGGGAGAAACCTGAAGCTTATGTGCATAATTACTTTAGCAAGGAGACATACTTGATGACATATTCTTTTATGATAAATCCTGTGCCAGGGGAACATGACTGGATTGAGACTAAATATGATGCCATAGCCCCTCCTTACTATAGAAAACCAGCAGGGAGGCCTAAAAAAGAGAGGAAGAAAGCTGCTGATGAGGCCAAGAATGTACAGAACAATGCAATGTGCAAAGTGTATGGGTTTTGGACATAACAGAAGATCATGTAAAGGTCCAGTACACAATAAATCCATAATGTTCAAGAGGAGGGGTGGACCAACCACCAGTTCCAGAAAATCTGCAAGTCAACCAAGGAAGGTAAATTCATTTCAATTTCAGTAATTTCATTTGTATACAAACTAAATTCATTTCAATTTCCATAATTTCATTTGATGCATTTCAATTTGAATTGAATTGTTATTGTAGTTCTCAAATGCTTCATCTCAACAAGCTGCAAGACACACATCTTCATCCCAACCATCTGCCACTCATCCTATTTCATCCCAACAAGCTGCTAGTATTCATCCATCTTCATTCCAACCAGCTATCACTACTCCATCACAACCAACAATGCCTTGTGGAGCAAGTGCAAGTGCAAGTGCAAGTGGATTTGCAGCAACTGGAATGAATTGAAATAGAAGAAGTTTTTTGTAATTGAAATGTTGTTGACATGTTATTGAATTGTACTCACATCATCTGTTCTTTTTGTTTAGGGTTTAAATTGTTATCTTATGTTGGAATGCACAAATTTTTGTAATTGATATGTTGGAATGTTGTTGACATTAAAACAGGCTTTGTAATTCAATTGTTGACATGTTGGTCTTAGGGAGCAGGTTTTGTAAACATATGTTGATATATTGATGCTTAATGAACATGCTTCACATGTTGGAATGTTATACAGGTTTTGTAATTGAATTGTTGAACTGTTGGTCTTAGACAGTCAAACAACATAATGCTTCAAAAATATATTTCATTTATAGCAAAAATAGTCTTCAATATTACATATATTCCTTCCTCATATTAGGTTACATAACACTTTTTTTTTTGCTTTCATTTGAGAGTACTTGCAATATAGTATAAATATAGTATCCAGCTTCCCAGTAACATTCTTTGATACAACTTTTTTTTTTTTTTTTTTAGCCTTTCCCACTTCTAACTCCATATGATTTATTCATTGCACGAGTCTTGGTAGTAGATCACGTGAGCGACGGCACAATAGTGGGTCAATCCACTCAAAATATTCACAAGTGGCGTGAATCTGAAATTTTTAATAAATAAGTTTAGATTTTTTTTCAATATTATATAACATAACAAATTAATTAATTAATTATTAAATATTGAAAGTGATTACCCCCATAATTTGCATATCCTATAAATCTTCTTACCATATTTGCATTTGTCCAAGCTGTTCTAATAGGAGATCTTTGGCCACAGTAGCATGTACGAGCTAAACTTTGTCCACTATAGTGGAAACCTTGAGAGGATGACATGTTTAATAATGGAAGTGGTCCTAGAAATTTTTTGGTTGGAAAAATCTGTTTGGTTGCTTCATGTTTATATAAATTAGGGGCAAATTGGTCATTTCACACTTGCATTTTGGTGCCAAAACACTTAAAACCAGCGAAGACATGCTTCTCTGGTGTGTGTTCCACACGCGCTGTTAACTCTGCCGATTCCCGTCACTTTTGCACTTTAGTCAAAACCACAAGGTGTTTATAAGTATATTTATAGATGTTAGGGGGGTAATGTGAAACAAAAGTGATACGGACCCCCACTCAAAACCACCCTAAGACCCCCTCTGAGGTGACACCTACTTGAAACCATGTGAAGAACAATTGCACTGTGAGGAAGGTGTGATACACGCACCTGTGAGACAAAAAAAAAAAAAATATAGGCTGAAAACAAAGACAAAAAAAATAAGCGGGAAACCCTAAACTTGATATTTCCTTCTTCCACTCCTGTCCCTCTTCTCTCTTCCATCGTCTGTCCGCTATAGCTTTCCTCCGTTGACGGCCATAACTCTCTGTCTCTCACTTTATTGATCTTCGATTGTATTTCGATCGCATTTTCTCAGGTAATGTTACTCCAAAGCCCCTCATTCTCCTTCTCTCTCTATCTACATACACTGATCAATCTCTGTGAAATGTCTGTATATAATCTTTTAAATATGTGGGGGTCGGAAACATTTTTGTTATTTTTAACTCTCCACTCAAATTTATGGTGGCAGATGGCTAAAAATAATTTCCCCAGAAAATTTTTTAGCTGAAATTATTATCAGCTGAAATTATTTTTCAGTTTCAAAAGAGCTAAAATTATTTTTTAGTTTCATAAATGTAGAATAATTATTATGAACTTATTATGAACTTTTTAACTGACTTTAATATGTGTTCTATGATATACCATGACTATGTGAGGAATTGAAGTTGCTATAATTTAGTTATACCATAAATTTAAATTATCATAATGTAAATTTGAACATAACAATTTCAAAGTTTAAATTTAAATTTATGAGACTGAATATGTAATAGTGTTTGAACATGTCAAATAATTTGAACATAACAGTTATAGTGTTTGAACATGTCATAACAGTTATTTGAACATGTTATAGCTTGAACATAACAGTTATAGTGTATGAAGGCAATAACTGAAATGAAATATTGTTGGAATAATTTATTAGATGAAGTTGCTATAATTTATTAGTGTTTGAAAACTAGGACTTACCCACAAAACTCAAGTCCAATAATCTTATAAAATAATCATTCCGAAATCATTCTATTTGAATTTCATTTTTGAAATTGAAAGAATGGAGGTTGATTCAAATGGTGGTGACAATCCTTCAGCCAATAAGGGTGAATAAGTTGAAGAACCTAAGAAGGGTATGTGTTTTAGCTCAAGGGAAGAAGTGTACACATTTTATGCCAAATATGCTAAGCATGTTGGCTTTTTTATAGCTCATAGAGCACAAAATTTTGGAGATGATGGCCAATTAAAAAACTTTGCAATTGAATGTTCTAGAGTGGGAGAGAGAAAAAAGAAATCAGAAGTGAACCCTTTGAAGCCATCTTTATCCACAAAAATTGGTTGTAAAGCAAGGGTACAAGGACCCCGTTTGGTAGAGCTGTGGGAAAATGATTATACCTTATAGCTTAACAGCTTATAGCTTATAGCTGTGAATATAAGCTAATTTTTGACTTATAAATTAAGTTTCTCCTCTCACACTCAAAGAATAAGTTGATTTTTGACTTACAAAAAGCTATAAGCTATATTGTTAAGCTGAATCAAACACATTAAAATAGCTTAAATTAAGGTAAAAGCTGAAATAAGCCCTACCAAACAGGGCAAAGGTAGTCTACAAAAAAAATGGGAGATATATGCTAACCACAGTTAACCTTAAGCATAATCCTGATTTGATTCCCACAAACTCTCGTCATTTTGCAATGAATAAGAAAATTCGTACTTTTGTGAAGAGAAGATTAGAAATCAATGATCAAGCAGGGATTGGAGTGTCTAGGAACTATCATTCAATGGTTATTGAAGCGGGGGGATACGAGTCATTGACATTTGATGAGCGAGATGCAAGGAATTATATTAATAGAGCTAGAAGATTAAGGCTTGGTAAATGGGATGCCGAATCACTTCAAAGTTATTTTATGAGGATGCAAGCACATAGTGAGAGATTCTTTTATGTGATTGGTGTTGATGAGGAGTTTCACATTAGAAACTTGTTTTGGGTTAATGCAAGGAGTCGGGCTACTTATGAATCATTTGGAGATGTTGTTTCATTTGACACAACTTATCTGACGAATAGCTATGACATGCCATTTGCTCCATTTGTAGGAGTTAATCACCATGGACAGTCTATTTTGCTTGGTTGTGGATTGTTATCTAGTGAAGACACCGACACATTTATTTGGCTATTCAAGTCGTGGTTAAGTTGCATGTTAAATCATCCTCCAAAAGCTATCATAACTGATCAGTGTAGCGCTATGCAAAATGCTATAGAAATTGTTTTTCCACAGGCCCGGCATCGATGGTGCTTATGACATATAATGAAGAAAATACCAGAGAATTTGAAAAGATATGCTTAGTATGAACCCATAAAGTTGGCTATGCAAAATGCAGTTTATGATTGTTTTACAAGGGATGAATTTGAGGAAAAATGGGAAAAGATGCTTACTAAATTCAATCTTTATGATAGTGAGTGGTTGGGGGTACTATATGATAAGCGGTATTGATGGGTTCCTGTATATGTTAAAGACATTTTTTGGGCTGGCATGTCAACTACACAACGAAGTGAAAGCATGAATGCATTTTTTGATGGATATGTCAACCCGAAGACTACATTAAAACAATTTGTTGAACAATATGACAATGCATTGAGAAGTAAGGCAGAGAAAGAGAAGAAATCAAACTTCAAGTGTCACGACCCGCTCCCCGTACCCAAGGGTTAAGCATCGTGATGGCCAGTAACTGAAGTTTCCTCCGGCCAATTCTTGAACAAATTAATAAACGCTAGCGGAAATAATATTTAAGTGAGGGTACCAAAATAATCATTGGAGCTTATATTTTTATAACAAAATTTATTGACCAAAAAGGCCGATATTTACATATAAATATATCATAAAAGTGTTGTGTGTGTCTATTCCGTAACCCCGCGTCTAAGACTTTCCAAAAGCTATTTCTAAATTGTATTGTTTCCTGAAAATTGGTAAACAACTATAAGCACATGGTAGAGTGAGAAATATTATGCTAAGAGTATAAGGGACACAAAATAACCATGGATAGTTATGTAACTAAAATATTTAAGGTAACTTAGTCTGAACAAATAACCATTTAAGTGGCAAAACTGAGATTATATAAATAAATAATCATAACCACGGTACAGAATAGAACAGAACAGATGCATGGACTCAAGAGGCGGCTGGTACGAACGCTAGAGGTGGCTCCCACAATAGTGTAGCACTTAGCTCCGTAGAGCACTTTGCTCCACACTAGAAATCAAAGGGTCAATGGATCCATGACAGACAGAGGGTCACAAAGTGACCAAACAGAGACCAATGGTTATTTAAGTCCCCCAAGGCGTGGGACTCCCATGGTGGTACTTACAAAACATAATTGTTTATAAGGTCATTGTCAAATATTCTTTAAAATATAAACAAACATATTCATGGGTTTCATTTTAAACAAATAAAGTTCAGAAAATAACACGTAATTGAAATATTAATATAATTTATAAAACATAACTTGTATAAAATAATTTATGGTAAGTCAAAACATACGTAAAATATATTATGGTGACTCAAGGTATAATATAACTCACCTTAACTTTAATACATCACTCTTTCTTTCCACTACCAAAGACCTTCTTCACTTCTAGTATTTTCTTTCCCTTTCTTTCCTTAAGTTTCTTTTCCTTTCATTCTCTTTTCCTTTCACCCCAACAAATCCTCTCTTTTATAGAGAGATAGTCGTGGCCACCAAGCCACCAAGTTGCCACGTGTCGCATTCCCATTAATATGCCATTAATTCAAGCTTATCTCTAACCTATTCAATGGATAAGCTTAACTTAGTTATTTATTTATATTTTGATCCCTAAATTCTTAATAATTATATTATTTTACAAAATTACACATAATCATACAAAATAAATCGTATATTTTCTTAACTGTGATTAAATAATATTAGTATAAATTTTACAGAATAATTAAAATTTGGGTTGTTACATCATGTCTCAACACAAATTGTTTGATTGTCCAACAATATATGGCTTTGAGAAGCAATTTCAGCAAGCCTACACCAATGCAAAATTCAAAGAAGTTCAAGGAGAGTCGAAGAGATTAGTTTACTGTCAGGCCTTGATTATCAAAGAGGAGGGAGCAATTGTACATATAATGTCCAAGAAGTGATGGTAGTTTGTGATAAGATGAAGCATGTTGACTTTGTTGTCTATTTTAATTCAATTGAATGTGAAGTTCAATGTATGTGTCGGTTGTTTGAGTTTAGAGGCATTATGTGTGCTCACTCACTCGTAGTGCTTGTGAGAAGGTGCATAAATGAGGTGCCAAGTAAATACATTCTGCCACGTTGGAGGAAAGATTTGGTTCGAGAGTACACATGCATCAAAACCACATACACTGGCTTTGGGGATGATTTCAATACAAGTTGCCATGAGAGGATGAACAAGAAATTGATTGTCATTGTACAACTTGCTGGTAATTTGGAAGTGTAACGCCCTTAGAATAATGCATACAAACCCACATTCTTGACATACATAGACATTAGAGAATAAAGCATATTTCTATTTATCAGAGTATTCATTATAGAAGTATTACATGTTGACAACAAAAGTAAATGCCCTATGGGCTTACAACTTTCCAAGTCAACACTTGGTTTCAACAAAAAAATAGTTCTAACTCTTTATACAAAATAAGCCCTTGGCTTGATTAACATGTAATACAAAAAGAAAACAACAAAAAGATCTTCAAGCCTCTAAGCCTCCCAAGCTACGTCCTTGGAGGTGGCATATCTCCTGAACCTGAAAATGATGTCCCATATAGGGTGAGCCAATGCCCAGCAGAGATATACTAAACCAAGTATGAGAAATAACTAAAACATTAACATTTGATAGATGGCTAGCACTTATAAACCAACTTATATCACAATACAGTTCCATGACAATTATGCCCATGTTTCATTCCACTTTCTTTTATTTATCCAAATCAATTCATAAACATGGCTCAGAACCTGGCCAAACAATTAAATGAGACTACATCCCATATTAAAACACGTCCACACTTCAATTAATACACATATTTGCTGTATTAATATTTCAATTTAATACACATATTTGCTGTATTAATGGAGTCCATCCCCTATCTCTTCCCAAACAGGTTTGAGAGTCCATCCCCTATCTCCCCTCAAACCATGGAGTACATCCTCTATTTCCTCCTAAACAATATACATGTACAATGTATTTAAACAGTTATCATATACAATGATCAATCAATACACATATTTGCTGTATTATTCCAACCGTCATATTCAATGGCATAACACGTTTGATTAGTTTCAGTTTTCCTTAATCAACATACAGTGTCTACAACAATCAAGACTATCCTCCACCGATAGCCCAAAATAGTTATCTCTAAACAGATAATAAATTTATCAACATTTTCATAGGTGAGTGCTTAAATTATCCAACTACACCATTTACTCCCACAATTTCCCAATTTCATTATCCTCAACTCAATTTCACATTTCCCCAAATTAATTATTCAACGTAATTAGGGCATTTTTCCCTTATTCACAAGATTGCCCCCAAGGCTCATATTTCACTCATAATTCATAAACAACTCCCAATTTCAAGTCTTTAACACATGTTTGACTCAAACATGAAGAACCCCTCTTTTATGAATTACAAATCAAACCCTAACTTTTTCAAAATTACCAAACAACACCAACTAATCAAAATGACTAAAATTTATGTCAAGACTCATAGATTAGAGTAGGTTGTCCCTACCTCGAAATGAAGAGACCAAATGGAGAAGATGAAGAAAACCCAAAGTGCTCCAAATCCACAACCTTTCATATTAAAATGAAGCCCTTGCGACCCTCTATCTTTCTTACAAAGAGATTAGGGTAGAAATACTCTAAAAGTAGATGAAACCCTAGAGAGAAGGTATGTGTAGAGAGAGAGAGAGAGAGTCGGATCTAGGGTTTGAACCAAAAGAGATGGAGAAAAAGTGAAGAAGGAGAAGCTGCTGTGAACTAAAATATACGAGGCTCGCTCGAGCGAAGGAGTGGTTGCTCGAGCGACCAGACACAAAGAAACCTCGCACGAGCCAACAATTCGAAACTTCAGGTCTGCAACCCAGAAGCACGCTCGAGCGAAGAAAAGCTTGCTTGAGCGAAGAAACCCAAAACATACAGCTCACTTGCTCGAGCGAAGGAAATCTCGCTCGAGCCAAGAAATGCAACTCTCAGGTCCAGAACCAGACGCAGACGCAAGCTCGAGCGCAAGACTTCTCGCTCGAGCCACCAGACACAAAACTCAACTCTCGCTTGAGCGAAGGAACCCTGGCTCGAGCGAAGGAACAAAAACAAAGAGCTCGCTCGAGCAACAAAAGCCTCGCTCGAGCGAAGAAGCAAAATTTCGGACAGCAACTATTGGTTTAAACTCACAACCAACCTGTAACAAACCTGCCCAACACATCCTAAAACTCAAATATAAGGAATTGAAGGATGGAAACAAAGTACATACAACAACCAATACCATGGAACCTAAGTCCGGAATACAACAACCAAAGGAGAGAAAATCGGGATCGCTATAGGAAGGGAAAATTAAAATTATAGACCTTGGGTTGGATGAAATAAAGGATAGAGTCATGCATGATGAATCAGGTGATAGGAGTAATTTACCACATTCTACTAATATGACACCATATTCTACAAAAAGTCCGATTGCCACCGGTTGTACAGAAGGAGCTAGTACGAGGAAGGTGATTAGCCCTTTGGTTGTTTGGCGAAGAGGCCGTCCAGTTACGAAATAAAAGGTTACCAAAGTAGATCAAATAGTGAATCGGTTCAAGGCAATGACAAAAAAACAAACAAAAACAAAGGTAAATTGTCTATTGAATTGAACTTTTTTTTTTTCTTTTTGACAAACTATTTTCAAGTACATTAAAGCAATTCATAAATTTCAATCATTAATTATTCTTGAACAAATATAGGCTGCTAAGGTGCTTTGATTTGTAGCTCAAGTTCAAGCTCAAGCTTATACATCGTATTATCCTTATATGGTTGGCATGCAAAATAATATGTATGTACTATTACGTGTTTATAAGACAACTTTACATCAATTGCTTGTTTTCATTTACAAATTTTTTTTTTAACATGTACTTTTTTACTTGAATTATCACAGGTGGGAAATGCTATTGGAGGCATCGGACTTTGTAAGCATCACATTGGGAAGTTTGATAAGCACTTCAACTCAAATTTTTGGTTCTGGATATCTAACCACGTTGGGTTCTAATGCATGCACATT